GGAAAATAATTTCTTGGATAGCTTGGGAATCTTTCACTACTTTGATTTTGTCTTCCTGTATCAGGTAACCAGTGTCCATACTATGGCAGATCCTAGTTCCTGGAACTGTTTAATAACACACAGTACTGTTGAAGGTATACTTAGTTCATCCATACATTTCTTAATAGGCACACGTCAATATCATGTATAGCAGTACCCATGATAGCACCCTGAAGACCTTCCACTAGTTAGCACAAGTCCATTTTAAACAAGAATTCTGACTTCCAGTTTACTCAGAACACATATTTTTTTCTCCTGGTATATTTTTCTCCCAAATGTTGACACAGTTTTTAATCACAACACACAAATTAAGTGATCTCTACTTGCAATCGTGACTGTATTGTCAAATGGCTAAGTCATACCAAGTTATTGCTTGTCACTGTATTTGTAAAAGGCCAATAGTGGATGTCAGACATTTTCCATACCACAAAAGAGAAATTATTTCCAGCTCATGCACATATTTTCATAGTTCTTAAATTAATTATCATATTACAGGTCACCAGACTTCTATCCACAAAAAACAATTTTCTCATTAAAAAAAACCCAAAACCCAGAAAACAACAAAAAAATTATTTTCTATGGTAAAAATTCTAATGATGTTAAACCAGATAGTTTTCTATTGATGAACTTGCATTATGTACACCTCTCCCACCCTCAACACTATGACATAATACAACAATTAAAGATAAATGCAAGATACCCTTTGGAATGTAAATATGTTACAATTCAAGTAGGCTGTCATGCTTCAAGTTTGATTTTTGTCCATTCTAGAGAGGTGTCACTCCATATTAACTATACACATTTGTGGGCTTTATTATGTAACCCAGTAATAGTTTATTACTGACTCATGATTTTCTAAGCATTTACTGACATTTCTTAAAATTTGACCTGCAAAGGCCTAACACCAGAAACTTGAGTTCCATCACATATCAAGGCATGTCAATGAAGTCACATAACATTATTCAGGTAAGTAGTTAGCTGGATGCACCATGCTGTGATGATGAAGAGATTTTGCTGTAGTGGGGTAGGGACCTAAGTCTGTCAAAATCAATATTGCTTCTCTCTTACCACCTTAGTTTTAAATAGTCAGTGTGTTCATTTACATATTTTAGGATATTAATGTTACATATTCCAAATTTAGTAATATTTATTTTTCCTGGAATAACTTGTGAAATAAGTTTCCTTTGCTTTAATGAGCTTATAAAGATTCCCTGCACTCATCTATGAAGTAGTTAAGGAGAACTTTCTCAGTTATCCAGACTACTTGTATATGCTACTTAATAAGCTCTCTCAGCAATACTGCAGATAGGACTTGTTTGATTCACACTTTCCTAATTACTGACAAATATTTCAGTGATGCTAAGAAAACAGAATAACTATGTAACATTATGTAACATGTATCATTGTTCAGTCCTGACACCAACAAGAGAAAACTACACAGAAAAATTTGCTCAAATACCTTGGCTTCAGGGTTTTGTGGTGTTCCTTTTCCTTAAAACATAAAAGATAAAGCTTTTTTGTAAGATTCCCAACTGAAAGCTTAACTATTCCTTTTGCAGTATAAGGGGTACTCTGTGTGTCTCCTTTAATGTCACTTTCACAACTTGAATAACTGTGATCACAAACTTGGTTTTTGTGTGTGTATAGGTAACATGTGCCCAGAGTAAAATTAGGTGATTTGACATTGGGTTTTTGCCACTTGTAATTTTTTTATGTTTGCATATCAGCTGCATAAAGCTGTTACAAATTAGTGAATTAAACTTTAAACTTTACAAATCAGTTTAACAAAAATTAAATTACAACATAAAAACCCACATAACTTTTATTTTCTTTTTAGTTAAGCAGCACAATAATTTTAGTGCTTTTTCAGCCCTCTTTTACTAAAAAATATACTTAAGTACACCTTCTATGTTCATAACCTCCTCACAGTATGTTTGCAGGAGTGGGACAGGAGGAAGGAAGGAAGACTGTGAGGAATGGTCACTGTAAATCTCATTCTTTTATACCCATGTTTGCCTCTCTAAAAAATAGGTATAAAAGTCATCAGCTTCCAAAACTTCCATTCCCATTTCAGAGGGAAATACCCAAACCTACCATGACAATGAGGGCACCAAGAGCACAAGTGCTCAGCCTCCTGTACCAGAATATTGTTCTGCTATAAGTCAGCATGGCTATGTACCCTCAAAGGGATTTAAACCAAGATTTGAAGTACAGGAATTATTATTTTGGATAGGACATGACCAATGACTGTAATGCAGAAGTGCGACAGCTGAGGTGTGCCCCAAAGCTAGCTGTGCTTCCATGGGATGGGATGACCAACAGCCCCTATGGCTGCCCAGCGCTTTGGGATGCAGGAGGCAGTAACACAGGCTGGGTATTTTCAGAAGCTCTTTGGCCTCCATCTCCAATGTGGAGCAGGTAAGCAACCACAGCAACCCCTGGGCATCCCAGGCATGTTGGGCTGAGTGCATCAACTGCAGCTTGGAAGGATCACAGCTCAGCTGGGAAAGTCTGGGGGAACGGTTCATGTGTACAAGAGAGAGCTTTTTCCGTTAAAACCAACAGCAAATACAACATAGCTGAAAACAACTATACCTTCACAGGAAGGCTTACAGCTTTCTAAAAGCATTAATTCACAGAAGCTCACAATCTGTTGCGATATACATTTATTTCCTTTATTGGGAAAGCCACAAATGCAACGGACAGATGCTCTATTAGTGTACAATGTTCTTGTTCATTTGAGGGGATGTCAAGCGCTGCTCTCCTCTCGACGTACACCTGATGTAAAGCACCAGTTTGGTAACCTCTTGCACATGAGTTTTGCACAAGGATGAAAGTTGCCTGCCTGTTGTTTTTCTCCTCCCTCCATCCATCCCAGCCCCTTCTCCCCGCTCCCCCCCCCCCCTCCCCCCCGCCCCCCCCCCCCCGCCCCCTGCCACAAATCCCGTATTGAGCAAGCCCAAACATAATGCAAATACAAACTTGCATGCTAGGGGCACAGCAGCACCTCTTCACGGACAGTAGCTGACAGCACAGCTCAAGGGGCGGCAGAGGCGGCCCGCAGAGCAGGGGCACACCCCGCCAGCGGTGCCGCCAGGTGTGCGGAGAGATCCGCCTCCCTCCCCCTGCCCAGGACCTTGTTGTAAAGGAAAGGGCCGGAGGAGAGGGACGGCGTTTCCCTTCGCGCTTGCCGAGGGGAGCTCCTGCGCTCCGCGGGGGCACGGGCCGCCCCGAGGCGGGGGAGGAGAAGCGCGGGGGCGGCTCTGGCTCGGGTGGACAAACCGCCCGGAAAACGGGGGGAAGGGGGCTCCTGCCCAGGGGATGCTGACGGGCGCTTTTCGAAAATGACCCCGAGCTGCTGATCGGCTCGGCTCGCACTGGAGGCGCTCCGGGGGGAATAATAAAGAAAACCCCACAAAAAACCCCACAAAACAACAACAACAACAAAACCCCCACCCAAAACCAAAAAAACACCACCACCACCCACCACCCCCCCAGCGAAGCTGCAACAGGGTCCCCGTTACAGAACTGAGAGTTTTCTCTCCGCTTCCTGTTGCTCTTGTGAAAGACAAGTACTGTTTGGCAAGTTCTTGACAGATGCCCCAGAGCGAACACCCCATCATCTAAGAACTCAGGGGGAAAGACGGTGTTTTTGTTTCTCAGCGCAAACGTCAAAGTTACAATTACTTTAAAGAAAATTACACACACGCCTGATTTGTTAGCGCTGTTAACGCACGCAGCTACAGGAGCGGGTATCCCACAAGAGGAAATCCTAGCTAAAAGTTGTTTCTAGGCTGTGCGTCCCCATTCATTAAAGCAAACTGGAGACCCAAGAAATCTGCGCGCGAATGTCGCTGTCAACCCCGAGCGCGTTCCGCTCCTCGTAAGCCCTTCTCCGCCCCCCGGGAAAGACTACTTTTTGCCCCTTTACCACGCCGTGAGGCGAGGCAAGTAACCGGGCTGAAGAACTGGGTGATTAAGGGGGAGTGTGGAAGACGGGGAGCAGAGGAGGTGCGCAACTCCCGCGGGTGCCCGGGGTTGTTCTCGTACTGGTGCCGGTGCTCGCGTGGCCCGGGGAAGGGGCCCAGCGGAGTCTGGCCCTGGGACACGCGGAAACATCGCGTTCCGGGCCCCTCCCGGACCCCTCCGCACCCACTCAGGCGTCCTGCGTGCCAGCCACAGCACGCGGCCCCTCTCCAGCCCCAGCGGCACCCCCAGGACAAGCAAGCCGGCAGCTCTCCATGCCTGCGGGGGTCCCGTCGGTGGGGATGCTCCGTGCTTCCCTACGGGACCCTCACTGGGTGGGACTGCAAGCCCCGGGGGAGGCTCTGGCTGCCATCCGAGGTAGGGCTGCGCCGGGGGCGTCGGCTCGGGGGGCCGCGGGAGAGAGCCGCGGGCACGGAGAGGAGGGTCCCGGGCAGCGCAACCGTTCCCGCCCCGTTGTCAGCCCCCGGGGAAGGGGACCGCCCAGGCGACGTGCCGGCTGGGCAATACGGCGAAGCCAGCGAAAAAAGTCCTGAGAGCAACTTTTGGAGAGGGAAGGGGGAGCCCCTTCCCGCGCTGGCAGCGGCCCGGGACCAGGGGACAGGCGGGTTCTGCGGTACGGGCCACCTGCCGAGGGCGAGCGCGCCCCGTGGACAGTTGCGGGTGGGGACTTCGCGACACGGGCGCCGCCAACCACTTGCTCTTTCCCTCCCACCCCGCCCGCTGCGGCCCAGGGCGACGCCGCGCTTTCTCGCACAGTTTCGTCGGGGGTGTCCGCCCGCCCCTCCGGCCGCGGAGGGGCACTTCGGGCAGCCTCCCCCCTCCCGGTCCCCCGCGGGTGCGGGGAACACGCCGCGAGCAGCCACGCCGGCGGGCGGGCGTGACCCGTCAACTTTCTCCCCCGGCCCCTCTCCCCCGGCACGAAACCTCCTCCCCAGCAGTTTTCCCAGAAAAGAGCCGCCCCCCGGCCCGCTTACCTCGCATGGTGTTGGCTCCCCGCTCCGCGCAGTCATGAAGCTGGGAGCCCGGGAACGCACCACAAAAATCCCGTCTCAGCACCCGCGGAGGCGGCGGCCGCCGCAGCTCTGCTCCGCCGGGAAAACCATACCTCCGAGGCGGCTCCGCGGGGCGCGGCTCCGCGGGCTGCCCCGCCGCCGGGCGCGCTCCTC